TCCCTTTAGTTTTACTTTAAACCACCTTAAGGGGCGTGTATCCCTTTAGTCATGTACAAAAAAAACAATTTAATTACTTACTTTCTGTGTATTTTGAAGCAGTGATCTGACCTTAAATAGAGTTTTTTTTTTTTAATGACTAAAGGGATACACGCCCATGGAGGTAGTTTAAAGTCTATTTTCCATACGAAATAAAAGAGATAAAGGCAATTCTGTTGCTTGCGGATGCGTATTGACTAACGGTATGCTGGTCTGACTGAACACCGGGTTTCTACATCTGCTGCTCCAGTCGGTACCAACTGACGATAAAAAACAACCAAACAGGACTGGAGACGATCCGGTCTTGAGGCGGTGGCGGTTCATCCTGCGGTTCCGTGTAGAAAGGGCTGCTGATTCACTTCCTGCTGATTCCAGAACCAAACCCTCTAGAATCAACAGCATCTGTAAATCTCCCCTGAACATAAAAAAAGGTCGGCCAAGCTTCTCTCAGGCGCACCAGTTCAATGACCTCCTTTCAGACACACACTCAGACTCTGTGTTTGTAAAATAAATGAATGATATAATATATTCAGATACTATAGAATTGGAGAAACCTGTATAGAATTGCTGAATAGTGGCTCATTTAATTAGTCACCTTTCTTTTTTATTTCTCTTCTCTTTTGTTAATACTGCAGATAAAATCCTATATTTTGCATCCTGTCTGAAGAGAAACAGGTTGTTTGTTTTTTAAAATAGAAAAGCTGGTTGTCCTGCTCTGATGCTGCAGTGGTTCAATCCTTTAAATGCATTTATTATTTGGAGGTTATTTATTAAAGAGTTGTTCAATTGCTGTTAAGAACCCGGATAGTTCAATTGCTGCAGGATAATCAAGACTTTTGGTCCAAAACAAACAGCCTGAACCCAAAGTCCAAGAGGGCGATTCCATAGGAACCATCTCAGACTCTACCTCTGCTCGGGCCGCCGGCGCCCAGCGACTTCATCATCCACGGCCTTGGTTTGACGCCATCGTTCCGATTTCTCCTCTCTGCTGAATAAAGATGGAAAGGTATAGACTTCACAGCCTAGATCTACATAATGTTGTGTCAGACTGCCATATTTCTACGTCTTCATCCGACTGGTCAGGTGGTGGCGGCACGTTCACTCCGACCCTGAACGCCTCACGGTGCCACTAGTTGGCTTGATAATCGATCTGTGTCCTCAGGGAGGAGATGGCCACATTTCTAGGGTTTTAAAAATCCACACGACGAGACGGCGAGCCCTCGCCATGGAAACCAGACTGAACATCAGGTCCGGTTTGGAGCGGTCCGCCTTTGTGTTGGAATTGGTGGAGATAATCAGCCTGATTCATTCCAAATGATTCACTTTAAAGCGGATGTTTCTGGCAGCAGCATCCCGTCTCCTCCCCTCCGCACAAACATCATCAATCCATGAATGTGAATCGTCTATAATTTGAGTATTATTGCACATCAAGTTGACACTGCCACAGATCAGCTGCGCCTGGAAACGGAGGAGCTGGTGGCGGGAGGGCGAGAAGCATCACTTTGTTTTTTTTCCCCGGTCTGTCGATCCTCATCCTTCCAGCTGCAGCGGCTTAGGAACCTCTGGCCCTGTGGGAGTGAGCAGGACTCTGGTGCCAAGCAGTTCGCTTCTCCTCCGTTCTCCTCCTCTGTGTTTAAGCACTTTGAACCTTCCGTCTGTCAGAGGAGTCTGTAGCTGTACATAGCAACTTCCTGTAACAAGTGCTCCTTGTTCACTCTGGATATTTGTTTTTGTTGGATTTGACTTTTCAGAGCATTATGTTGTAGAATTAAAATAAAACTAGCTGAGGCATCTGTTGATTCCCTTTTCTTGGTTCTCACACCTGGAGCCCTTCTGCTGAAACATTATTTTGGGGCAGCCTAAAAGGAATAGGAACGTTTCAGCCGTTGTGTTTTTATTTTAATTTTATCGCTGTCATCCTTTTCCCTCTCAGTTATCACTTTTTTACTGTACTTATTGTTTTAAAAATTATTTAAAATCCTAGTCCACCATCACATTTCCCCCTAAATTTTCACGTTATGATATACGTTTGCATTATTTATTGGCTACAGCTAAAAATATAAAGTTTTCAATTTACCTACAATAACTTCAATTATATTATTAATAGGTCATCAAATTAATTCAGTTTAGTCTGTCTGATAAACTGCCTGTAGTGTCTTTAAATGTCCAGCAGGTGTCAGTATTTTGTGAGACTATCAATACACTTTGGCAATGTGTGAAAATGTCTCCAAAAAAGTAAATAATCAATCCACTGGGCTTTGTTTCCAAGTTTAAAGACGTTTTGCTTCCCATCCAGGAAGCTTTTTCTATTCAAATGTCAGAAATAGTGTTGAGTTCCAGGCTTTATACAGCAGCCAATCAAAGCCTTGTTTTTGTATAGAAAACATGCAAATAGAAACGGATGAACGCTTCCATCCCTTTAGAATGGGGGTCAATAAAGGAAAAGTCCGCTCATATTCAGAATTCCAACTTCTGAAAGTTCTTTAAATATAAAATGATTCCATCCTGTTCAATAAATGATCAGTGTTTTTAATTCAGAGTAATTTTCATGTGAATGTGCTTTACTGGAGGCATCCATGTTTGTCAAAGAACA